AGGAAGATGGTCAGAGAAAGGGACACCGCACGCCCCCCGCAGCTCTCACCGGAGGCGGAGGCAGGAGTGGAGGCTGGGTGAGGACGAGGCTCCGGGCTCCGCGCCCTGGGACAGCGACAGCTGGCCAACATCCACTGTGCCTTTCAAGACAGCTCCAAGGGAGGGCTGTGGCCACTCTCCTTTCAAAGAAATAGGCCTTGAGGACCCGGGAAGKTTCACCGCCCGGCTTCACCGCCACGTCGTGAACACTGCCCCCAGCTCCCATCTTGCCCCCAGTGGATCGGCCCCAGTGAAGAGGAAAACAGGCTGGGGGCACAGCTCAGGGGACAGCACATGCCCAGCCCTAGGCCCCGAGTCTGTCCCCCGCACTGGAAGCCAGGTGTGGTGGCCCACGCCTGTTATACCAGCCCCTCGGGAGGCTGAGGCAGGAGGATCACAGGTCTGAGACCACCTCGGCAACTCAGAAAGACCCTTCTCAAAATACATCAGAAAGGGCTGGGGGTGTGCTCGGTGGTAAAGGGCCCTGGGTTCAACCAAGGACTGGGGGAAAACAGAAAAACCCCGGCTGCCACAAACCAAGGGCCAAGCCCTGAGCCGAGGGGCAGAGCTGTAAGAGGGCCACTTGCAAACCTCGCCCTGGCTCCACGGTCCTCCCTTTTCCAGTCAGCGCAGGCGGGTGGCAGTGCCCGGAGCTTGGCAGCATTTCCAAGGAGCCCTCTGACGGGGTCTCAGTGAATGGCTGGGCCTGCCCTGGGGGTAGGGCAGGACAAAGGGCAAGCTCCCCGGGAGCCTGGGGCGGGGGTCCTACAGGGAGGTCATGTGGGGCACTGCATGGGAGCCCCGGGAGGAAGGAGGGGACCCGGTTCAGGATGCAGAGCCCCGAGCACAGGCCTCAGATGAGGGCGCTGTGGAGGCCCCACGGCTTGGCAGCACAGAAGAAGCCTTTGAGAGGGGCCAACCCCAGTGTGGAAGTGACAGGGGACAGGAAAACACAGGCCCAAGTCCCTCTGCCACCCCGGGCGCCCTCTGGAGGCACAGGAGTCCAAGGACATGGCTGCAGGGTCTTGGCCCATCTTCAGAGAGGGGCAGGGAACGCCGGGTCTGCGGCAGCCGGGCAGAGGCATCGGGCAGGTGAGGGGTGGGGGCATGGGGAGCCCAGCAAGGCCAGGGCTGAGGGGCTGAGGGGCAGCAGACCCGGCACGGGTGGAAGGCACAGCACCGGGACCTGCAGACGGGAGGGGCTGACAGAAAGCCAGGCGCACGGGACACTCAGGACGCGGACAAGCAGCGGAGACCGCTGCAGACTTGGAAGGTGTGGTCCTGCGGCTGCCGTGACGCAGGGGCCCTGGAGGTGGAGGGCCACGGAGGACCCATCCCGCCACCCCCAGCTCCGAGTGGTTCTGCGCTCCTGGCTGTGGCCACGTCACCCTGATCTCTGCCTGCGACTTCCTCTCTGAGCCTCTGGTAAGGACACCTGTCACGGGCGCAGGGCCCACCCAGGCAGTGATCTCAAGATCCCTAAGTGCAACTGCCCAGGCGCTTTCCCAATAAGGTGGCCTCCACGGCACCAGGACAGGGCGGGTCTTTGGGGCACCATTCAGTCCACTCCCCAGGGTGCTCAGGCCCTGGGTTTGGACGTGGCGAGTGTGACAAATTAAGTATCTCCGTGGGAACAGGTGCACGAAGTCAAAGCTGACCATCGTCACCTTCACGTCATCAGCAAGCAGCTGGCACCGGGCTGGGCCCAGAGCCGGGAGCGAGGAGAGGCGCCGTCCAGAGCAGAGCCCCAGCAGGACGCACTGGACTCACTGGGGACCCCYTCACTGGGCCACAGGCAGCTCCGAGCAGCCATGGTCTCCGCGGGAGACTGGGCCACTCTGGCCCCTCGGGCAGCTCCGGGCCCAAGGTGCCCTCTGCATTGGTGCCCCCTGGAAGCAGGCCGCCAGCCTTTGAGTCCTGTGTGCCCCGAGCTCTGTCCAACTCCCGAGCACGAGCCCATGAGCACGACCAATGGCCGCTTTGTGCCTGGAGTCGGGGAGGGTCATGCAGCCATGGCAGGGCACAGCCTCCTCCCTGGGTGAGTCAGAGCCCCACCCGGGCACCTGGTGCCCCCCTCCAGACGGTTCCTGCCGCCCCTGTGGCCGACCAGGCCAGGACCCAGCAGCCTCCTCGTCCCAGCTGCCCTGCCTCGTCTGGGTCTGGCACAGGGGTCCCTTTGGAGTGTGGCTCCCAACGGCTCCCTCTGTGTCCCCGCAGGGGCCACCTCCACTGGGGGACCAGGGCCCATGGTGGAGCCTGTGGCATCAGGGGGACCCACGGGTCAGGGGGGCGATACTGAGGATCTGGACAGGGTGCTCGAATGCCACCCAATGGGGAAGGACAGGTGCCGAATGCCACCATTCAGTCCACTCGGTGCTGGACCCCCAACATTGCATGCAAAGGAAAAGCCGCCACACGCGGATGTGAGCTGGGACGGATGGCAGGCCTGGATGCCCGCGCTGACCCCACGCAAGTCCACCAGGACGCGCAGCGAGCTCCAGAGCTCAGGCCCGGCCCAGAGGCACAGCCCCGAGAACAGGCCTGGGAGGTGGGACAAACTGGACCCCACGGGGTTAAAACCCTTTATGCTTCTAAAGATGGCATCAAAGTACCAACACCTGCGAGGCAGAGGACAAGGCCTGTGCCCAGGCACCGGATGGAGACTGTCACCCAGAACACAGGGACGCCCCTCAGTGACCAGGCCAACCGCCCACCCAGAGCAGGCACGGGGTGGAGCGGGCGCCAGGTGACACGGGGTCCTGGTTCGGACCTCTTCTGTGAAGTAGCCACTCACGTGGCTGCCAAAAGGGGGGGTGAAAGACGGAATGGACGCTCCGGGACAAGTGTCCTTACCAGAGGCACAGAGAGGAAGTCACCTGAGGAGACGCAGGACGCGGGGCCACTTGGGAGGTGCCCGACACCGTCCGTCTTTAAGGAAAGGCCAGTTCAGACTCCGGCTCCCCCGTCCGCCCAGCGGCCTCGCTGCTTGGCCACTCCAGAGAGCCCCACAGCTTCCTGGACAGTCACCCTGGACACGGAGACACCCCATCTAGAGCCCAGCCAAGAGAAACAGAAAGGGACCCGTTCACACCGGCACGAGGAGGCGGATGCTCACGGTGGCCTGGGTCCCCCACGGGCAGCAGCCCGCGGCTTGCCCATGCGGCAGAAAGCCCCTGACCACGACACAAGCACCCTGCGCCAGCCACGACCGAACTGCAGGCGCAGCCCCGAGTAGAGCACCAGGCCGAGGACGAAGGCCAGCAAGGCCCCAGGAGCCCCCAGGGGWCGGGCTGATGGGCGCACGTGACGGATTCCACCTCACTGTCCTCAGGAGGGGTGGGGACTGGGCTCAACGAGCTGCGTGACCAGGGACTCCCAGGGAATCCCAGGAGCCCCGAGAGCCGGGCTGCGGTTCCGCCGAGAGGCCCGCGCCGCTAGACGAGGCAGGCGGCCAAGGCAGGGAAGCAGGCCTGGACAGCACATCCACGCTGGGAGCCGGCCACACGGCTGCCCGCCAGGAGAGGGCTGCTGCCCTGCTGCCCCTTTCCTCCACTCTCAGAAGTTTCCAGACCAAATAAGGCCGCAGCTCCTGCYGCGCTCCTGGCTCCCAATGAAGGTCCCCCTCGGTGCCAAGGCTGTGACRGAACCTCCCAGCAGCCCAGCAGCCCTCGGGCCGGGCCTCCGGGCAGCGCCCCGAACAACCAGGGTAAACACAGCAGGGCCGCTGCCAGCCCGGCCTTCCACGGGGGCCTCCGGCCAGGGCACCCTCGACCCTGCCACAGCAGGACGCCAGGCTGCTCGCCATAGCCCCGCATGTCACCGCAGCCTTGCAGGGTGACGAAGGCGACGGCGCTGGGCACGGTGGCCAGGGCTCTGCACAAAACCTGATCTTCAGAACCACCGTGGGACGGTCCCACTGCCGCCCGGTTTTACAGACAAGGGACCTGGGAAGKACCCAGTCCTGAAGCTGGGGCTGCGACTGTGCTCACCCTCACCACCAGGGGACACGGGCAGGTGCCTCATGGACAGGAGTCCTCAAGGGACCCCTCACCCCCATGGAGCCCAAGCAGCCCACCCCTCACAAGGGGCTGAACTTGGTCCCCAAGATCTGGGAGGCACTCCTTCTTCTGGGGCTTACCTCCCTGCCACCAGGGCACTGTCCGAGCCACCCACACGAACGCCTACCTAGCAAGGTCCCAGGAGCATGCTCCTGGTCACGGCACCCCAGCAAGCAGGGAGGGCACCTCCTATCCCTGTGCCCAACCGCCCTGCACTGAGCCTCACCGTGGACACCTCCGGCCTCCGAGGGACCCTTTGCAAACACTTTCCCCTGTTTCAGGGACACGAGCAGCACTGTGAGCCATCGGTGTGTGACGCTCAGCACCACCTGCACGTCCCAGCCCTGGGTCTTTGCTCACTGAGGCTCTTACAAAGCACAAGGAGGTGCCGCACACAGTGGTGCACCCCTGTGGCCCCGGGAAGCCACCCTGTCCCAGAGCAGTCTGAAGAGGGCCGCCGCATGGCGAGGGGCAGAGCACCCGGGCTCACTCCCCAGTGGGCCACTCAGTCCCAGGGCTACTCTGGGAGCAAGCCAGGACAGCGTCCGGCCCGGGGGAGGCCAGGCTGGGACACTGGGCGGGGCAGGATGGAGAGGGCGGCCTGCACTGGCAGAAGCAGAGTGGCTGCAGCCAGGGGCCTGGCGGGAGGGCCCTGGGGACAGCACAGCAGCCCCCTGCAGGCCCTCGGAGCCCTCCTGAGGCCCGGAGGCGGAGGAGGGAGGCAGCAGCTTGACAGAGCTCAACTCTCCAGTCAAGCCAGGGGCGCCCTGACCTGCGGGCTGCACACCCTGCCCCGCTGCAGCCCCCGCCTGAGGTGCGGTTGGCTCCTCCCACCCCAGGACAGGGACATCGGAGCCAGAAAGAGAAGAGGCTCCTCTCAGACAGAGCAGGCATGCCGGCCGGTGCACAGGTTTTATTTCATCTTTAAATAACTTACACGCCTCGGAAACAAAAACCCGGGTCTTAATGACATCAATGAGATTCTGGCACCAATGAGATTCTGGCAAATAGAGTACGTGGCAGAGAACAGCGGAGCGCGCTCAGAGCGGGCGTCGGCCACGCAGGTGGTCTGGGACGCTCCTCCTGGACCGTCAACCGGGAGCAGCCATTTCACCCAGTCCCCAAGCCCAGCGAGAGGAAGGGCAGGAGCAGGCCAGGAGCCTTCCTGACAGACGGGGGCCGCAAGGGACGAGGGTCGCTGCAGGCACAAGGAACAGAGCCAGGAGGAAGGCCCTGGCCAGCGGCTGACAGGACCCACCTCAGCAGCCTCCCCAGCTCTGCAGCTGACAGCTCGAGGTCCAAGCCACTCATCAGGGACATGCTGCTGTCCCAGCCCTGCCCCAGGTCACAGCCAGCCTGGGGACGCAGCGTGGGCCCGTGCAGGTGCTCCCTGGGGCAGGCCGGGTCACGTGCCCCTCTCCTTCCTCCTGCTCGTCCTCTGGCTGCTGAGCTCGCCCAGCTTCTTGTCCAGCTTGCTCTGCAGCTGAGCCCTCTTGGCTGGATCCAGGGACCTGTCCTTGGTCCCGCTGCCCGCATAGAGGACGCCTTCGCGGCTGATTCTCTGCCGGGCGTGGGCACGAGCCTTCTCGCCACAGCCGTGAACCTGAGAGGGACATGAAAGTCAGGGTGGGACAGGAGCCTACAGACCTGCTGCCCAAGGGCTAGGGACCTTGGGAGCCCCATGTGAGGCCCTGGACAGGTTCCCTCCTCCCGGCAGGTCTGGCCTTCACTCTGGAGGCTACAAGCCACCTGGGGCTGGCAGCAGGCCCGTCAAAGTGTGTGGACAGCAAATGGCACCCCTGCTTGACCACACGGTCCCCACGGCCACTTCCTGCTGCCTCCAGCCTCTCCAGGCCGCAGTCTTGCTGCCCAACTTCTCCAGGCCGGCCTGGCCTCTACCTCCCACCTCCACCCAGCCTCAGCCCACCCCGGCACCCCTACTGGTGGGGGCCGCCCACTGCCTCCGTGGCTCCTAGAGTGCTGGGCACTGGCACCGACCCCTGTGCTATTCTTGTTCCCAAGCCAGCACCAGGCCCAGCACCTCCCGAGGCCCCTGCCTGGCCTGGTGCCCACAGCCCCCACATCTGGTGGGGCTTCCTCACCCAGTCGCGCTCAAGGAACAAAATGCAAGTCACCAGGGCCACCGCGGGCCCCACCACACATCCCATGTCCCCCTCCTCTGAAGCAGACTGTCCCATGGAGGAACCAAGTCCCCACCAGCATGGCCATGACTCAGCAGGACGGCCTCTGACCTGGCCCAGGTGTCCACGAGTCTGAGTCCAGGTCTGACTGTTGTAAAGAAAGCACCCCCAGGACAGTGGGGGCTGGGGGAGCAGGCATTTCCACGGGGTGGGTCCCCAAGCTGCCCCCCACAAGAGGGCCACAGACCTCGGGCAGGTGGTGGCTGAGGCAGTAGCGGTGGCCACAAAGCTGGCAGAGCTGGCCGAGGGTCACGACGCTGGCCGAGCACTTGGCGAAGGCACAGGTGCTATCGGCCTTCACGACAGCCGACAGCAGGGCGTCAAAGTCCTCCTCGGCAGGAGCCGCTGGGGCCGCACGTCCTGGGGACAGAGGGGTCACTGAGGCAAGTGGGAAAGACAGGCAGAACAGCCTGCTGGGCACCCAGGCAGAGTGGCCGCGCCCATCCCACCCTGAGCACGGGCTCCTGCCTCCAGGTTTGGCACGGCGCCGACCGTGCTCAGCAGAACCCGCTGGGTACAGGCCACGGGCCCCGCGACTCCACTGGCCCTCGCTCCTTGCTGACCAGTGGCCTGAGCCCTCCTCCTGCTGAACACCCACACAGCAGGGCTGGGAGCGGCGGCCAGCGCAGATGGAGTCCTCAGAGGGCCTCACCAGAGGACCCTGCCCCAGGGAGTGCAGCCCGGGCCAGCATGCAAGCCAACTCCAGGGGCAGCGGGGTGACCACGCAGGGCACAGGTGGCAAGACCACGAGACCCTCGACACTCTAACAGGAAGAAACACTCTGAGGTTAAAGGAAGATGTGCACGAGTAGAAAAAGACACCAAGTTACACGTGGGCACAGCCCCGAAAAACACGCGTGTGCCTGACATACCTCCACACTCGGGGACACTGAGTGCTGGCCCCGCAGGCTCTGGGCAACCAGGCAGGCCTGGCCTCCCTGTCCCTGTGCCCCACATTGTTCCCTACTGGCAGGTGGGTGCCCTAAGGTGACCAGGCTCCCAGGGTCAGGATGGTCAGCCTCAGAGGTGGGCGGCACAGGAGACCGTGACCTCAGCTAGAGCCTCACTCGCCAGTGGCTGGTCCCTGGCAGCTGTGCACACCCCCAGGTGCTGCCTGTGCGTGCCCCCTCCTTGCCCACCTCCCCGAGAAAGGGCCGCATCAAGGTTCGCTCTGCTGTGCTCCCACATGGCCCAGTGGCCACCCAATCAGGGGAGAGACAGCGCTGACCTTGGCTAGTCCCAAGGAGCAGAAGCGACTTGGCCTGGAGAGGCCTGGGGAGCCCCGCTGACCTCAGGCTCCCCCTCCCTGCAATGTCCTGTGGCACAGGTGTCCTTGGGAGACCAGGAGGGCAGGGCTGGGAGAGCCCATTCAGGCCCCAGTGGGGGTGACGTGGCAGGGAGCAGTGGGTCACAGAGGACAGCCTGAGGGACCACGGACCACCCAAAGCCAAGGGCACAGCCTGTGCAGATGGCCAGCGCCACCTCTGTCACGGGGGTGGCCCAGGCCTGGCTCCGGCCGCCTCTGCGTCTGGCAAAGCGGGGGCTGAAGACACGCTCCCAGGGAGAGCGGCCAGTGTCCTGGAAAGCGGGCCGTTGAAGCATGGGTGGGCACACGGGGCTCCCCCAGCAGGCAGCTGCCATGCTGCCCCAGGGCCTGGTGCCTGCCCTCAGGGGGGGCCCTTGCTGGAAGGTCGCGCCTGCGGGGCAGGAGCACAGAGCCAGGTCCAGATGAGCTGGACATGCCACGGCCTCCGGCTCCAGCCCCAGGAGGCCGCTCCACACCCATACGCTGAGCACRTGCGGCCTTGCTTCTGGGAACAGGAGGACCGCCAACGAGAAGAACTGTCACCTCCCTGCTGACAGGGATGTGGCTGTGACACGCGGCCCGAGGTGCCCACAAAACCCAGGCTGAGCCAGGCACGCCTGACCACCTAGGGGCCGGTCACCCAGTGGAAGCGGGAGCAGTGCAGGACGGACAGAGCGCAGGGCCATCCTGGGGCTTCAGCGGGGCCACACACACTCCTCCAGGGTGTGTGCTGTGGGTGGGCCTGGCCCCCATGCCCCGGCCCGCAGCGTGGCAGCCCCTGCTGGGGTTCACAGTGAACCCAGGGGCGCCCTCTACTGGGCACTGCCGAGGCTCGGGGACAAGAAGGTGCCTGTGACAGTCACTGCCCCAGGGGAGCCAGACCCGGCTAAAGACGCAACACCTGCAGAACTGCCCAGAGCACTAACTCCCCCAGGGGGTCGGGGTGAGTGGGGACGTGGCTGCTGCACCCCACGGACACCACTCACCCTTCTTCTTCCTCTTGTCTGGAGCCTTCGGCAGCCCCACACCCACGGCTGGTGGCCCCTTCCCGGCTGGTGGCGCCTTCCTGGCTGGCTGCTCGTGGCCACTCTTCTCCAGGGGGGTACTCTCCAGGGACAGCGCCTTCAGATCCAGCTGAACCTGGCTGTGCGGCTGCCTGGGGGGCTGCTCTGTTTGGGAGGCGGGCTGGGGGGCTCTGCGGCCAGCCCCCGCCTTGCGCAGGGTGACTCGCCGCGCCCTGCCCTCCCCGGAGCTCTCGTGCCGCAGCCCGAGCTCCTCGGCTATCTGGTGGACGCGCAGCCGGTCGTGAGAGCTCAGGGAGGCGGGAAACTCCAGCTGCGTCTCCTCGCTGCCCAGGAACTCCATGATCGTGGCCCTGAAGCGCTCCGTGCCCCCTGCGCCTCCTGCTGCCCCCGGGTCCTCACCGTTGAGGTGGGGCTGGGGACAGGCTTCAGGGCCCCCAGGCTTCGGGCCCCGCCTCCGGCGGCTGGCAGCTTGTGGGCCTCCCTCCTGCCGCCCACCTGGTGGGCGTCCAGGTGGCCTGGCTGAGGCGGGGCCCCGGGGCTTCGCAGCCTGGCTGTGGCTCTGGGAACCCTCGTGGGAATAGTTTTCGGGGACGATGTCGTCGAGGTACTCGAAGGCCGTGCGTACCTCCCCGTGCTCTGTGAAATAGTCCACCAAGGTCTTCAGAAAGGCGTGGTTGTGGACGGTCCGGGAATCGCAGACCACAGCCACGTGGCGCCGTGCGCGGGTGACGGCCACGTTGATCCGCCGGTCCTCGGCCAGGAAGCCCACTTCACCTGCAAAGGGCCAGCTCTGAGGGAGGATGGAAGGCCGCCCCCGCGGTCCAGTCGCAGGGCCACGGGCACCCCGCCCTTCGCCTGCCCTCAGCTGGGCTGGGGACGGCCACACTGCTCACCGGCCACGCTCCCCCACAGGCACCCTTCCTCCAGGCCTAGCCAGCCACCGCGTCCCCAGGCCACCTCCATATCTGCTCCCACGCCTCTGGTGAGGACGCTTCACCCAGCCGCTGGCCAACACTGCGCCACCACCAACAAACCCAGCCACAGAAACCTGCCTTGAGGCGGTGACTAGCAGGCCACTGTGACGGCCAGCCCAGCCACCTACCCTCCACCGGCTCCCTGACCCCGCGCTGGGCTCCCTCTGCCCATGACACACGCCCCGTTCTCCAGGCTGACAGGGCTCTTTGTGGAGAGCTCCGCTCAGAAGTCCCCTGCCCAGGCCTCTGCCCCAGGCCTCTGCCCGGCCCCTTCCTGGCGGGTGGTTTGGTCCTCCTGAGCTTCCTGAGGGCAGAGGCTGCCCGGCCACGCCCTGGGACCCGACTCCTTCTGCACGGTCCCCACAGGACTCTGGGGAGGCCTCGCACCTTTCCTATTGGACCTGACGAGGGACAGGACCACGGCCTCCTTCTCGCGGCCCTGGAAGCCATCCACAGACCTGATCTCCAGCCCCGGGTGCCTCGGCGCCAGGCTCTGCCTGAGCAGGTCCACCTGCAACCAAGCAGGCGCGGCCTCAGCGCCCCAAGCCCAGCGGCCTCGGGACCCAGCCCCCGCTCAGCCAGGGCTCCTGCTGCAGAACTACCCCCCCAGGGAGCCCCGCAGAAGCCCAGGAGGTGGTGCCCGCCTCCCCTGCCCGGGCATGGCGTGAACAGACGGGAGCCATCTGCTGGCAGATGCCCTGCCACTGGATGCTGTCATTTTTCCTGGCTCATAACAGCCACCAGCCTCAGCGGTGTGGACACTGTGAGGGGGAAGGGGCACCTGCTTCCTGGGCACTGCCCCACATGGCCAGCAGCTTCTACAGGGCGGGCACAACCTGGCCAGAGACTCGGCCACGGCTGGAGAGGCGGCAGGGGGGCCTGTCCAGCCAGGGCCACTGTGGAAGGCAGCGTCCGCGGAGGCTGCTGGCCACCTGGAGGCCACCTGAGAGCCAGACCCACTCTGGGGACTCAGGAGGAGTGACATGTGGGGAGGGCAGAGTGAGGTGACACAGACAGGCAGCTCTTGCTGAAGTCCTCTGCCTGGCCTCTAGTCAAGCGAGGCCAGGACTAGCCAACTCACAGGCCACTACGTCACCCTTCTCTTTGGGCTTGTGAGTTGGCTGAGTCCCTAGGGACAGAAGGAGAGCAGGGCCCTCACACCTGGAGGTTGTAAGGCGTGATGACAGCAATGTCCCCTGCCTGGACGCCAGCATCCACCAGAGCCTGCACGTGGAGGGTGACGAGGCGGACTTCACCTGGAGGGAGGAGAGCGGCTCACAGAGGGGGGACGAGCCTGGGCACCGGGCCTGCGTGACGCACTCCCCTGCCAGCTGTCCACAGGGCGCATCCTGGGGGCCGGCTCTGGCCACAGGCTCCAGGACTCCGGCTAACCCRCCCTTCACGCCACGGTGACCGCAGCCCATCAGCACCTCGAGGAGCATGGGCTGCCTGAGACTCACCTTCAGGGCGAGACGGGAAGATGTGCCGCCCATGGACGAGGAGCCATCCGCCTGCCCTTGGGAAGAGCAACCACGCTGCCCCCCAGGCATGACCACTCCAAACCCCTGCAGCCCACGGGAGCCTGCTGTCGCCCATCAGCACCTCCAGGCGCTAGGCCATCTGAGTGACCAGCTGGCCCAGACGGCACGCTCACCTGGGTTCCCCCTCGACTGCTCGTCATCGTCCTCCAGCTCCAGCAGCCCACAGCCGGCAGTGTCCACAAGCAGCAGAGGGATGCCCGTCTCCTCCGTGGCCGCCACGCCTGGGAGGTCCCTGGCACACGGGGGATGAGAGCTGTGCTGGACTCCCACACCACAGCACTGGCCCTTCCCACCGGGAAACACAGGGGCTGACCCCTGGAGCCTGTGCTGGGCGCCAAGAGCATGAGGCTGGGCAGACGCAGTCCAGCTCCTGGGCAAGGCCACAGCCCCTTCTAGAAAATCAGTCCCTGGCTGACCTGAGCTACAATCCCCAGGACACGTTCCAGTGGGAGGAGCTTGAGGGGGGACACTCACCTCAGGAGGTGGCCGGCCACGGAGGGGTGGGCGTCGAGCTGCCCGCCGTACATGACCTCGGAGGCCCAGCCCATGATGGCCTGGTGCATGCGGTACTGCACGGTCAGCATCCGCACCGCGCTCGCCCCCTGCTCCTCGGCCAGGCGCTCCATCAGGCTGCGGGACAGCCCAGCCTGCGCGGCCCTGCACGAGGGGGGGAGGGAAGCAGGGCCCAAGCCACCGTGAAGCCACGTGAGCCACCCATCATCCCGTGACTCCTACCCAGGGGGACCTGGGGGTGGGCAGTCAGACCCCAGGATGTCCCCAGAACACGCCCCTCACAGGACCAGAGGAGTTCTGTGGACAGGGAAGGACCCTGGGTCACCGGGCAAGAGCCACAGGGCCAGGCTGCAGAGAGGCAGGAGGGCCAGAGTCACAGGTGCCATGTGACAGGGGCCGGAAGATGCCACACTGAAGACCGGGGACCACACTGCGGCCCCCAGGGGAGAGAGCCTTGCCACACTCCAGTGTGAGCCAGGAAGGCTACCTGGGACACTGGACCTCCAGAATGGGAAACCACAAACCTAGGCCAGCAGTCACCACCAAGGTGTGCCCAGCTGTCACAGCAACAACAGGAAACCAGTGCAGACGCACCCCAACATCTAGGTGCGCCAGCAGCCGACCCCACAGGGCACCGCCTGTGAGCCAACCCCTCATCCTCACTGGACCTTCCGATCCCCACATCACACAAAGGAGGGGGAGACTGGAGAAGCCAAGGCCCGAGCCTGCCCAGCCAGCTGGCCGAGAGCCAGAACCCACCTGGCCACCCGGCTCCGAGCCTATCCTCTGGCCCCCACGTCGACTGGCAGAACCACTGGGCAAGTGCCCAGTCCCTGGGGGTGACTTGAGAGCTGCCCTCTGGGAATGCAGCGGGCCTCTGCGTCCTTAACCACTGCTCCCCAAGGGACTGTCACCAGGAAGTGAGCCTAGGTGAGCTCTGGCCCTGCAAACGCCGCAGGGCCCCACCAGAGCCCCCCAGGTCTCCTTGTCTCTCTGGGGACACACAGGGACCCACTCCCACGGAGGTAGTTCCAGCCTGTCCATMTGATGGCACCCTGGAGGACAGAGCCCCTCTCAGGATGCCTGGAGACCCCTGCAGGACAATGAGCCTCCTCGCCCAGCTTCACCGACTCCCACTTCCGCATTCCCCTGTGCCCCCATCCCACCGTGACGCGCCTGGAGGGGACGACGTCAGTCAGTCCCCGTTTCTCTGAGGCTCCTGGCCGGAGGTCCCAGCCCATCAGCAGGCCCCAGAGGTCCGACCCCTCCTGGCACAGCGTCTGGCCTCCAGCTCCAGGCTGGTAGTGACTGCACCAGAGAAGCCCCAGGTCCAGACAGCAGCCCAGACCAGCCGTAGATGGGGATCTCGGCCCTCTGAAGGACTCGCTCCTGGGCGGCCTCGCTGGACATGGCCTGCCTCCTGGAGCCGGCCACTCAGGGCTGCCTTCACGGCCGACTCTAGGGAGACCCAGCGAGCCGCGGAGGCCCCGTGCAGCATTCTGATGGGCAGCTGCGGTTGGGGCTGCCAGACACCCTGGGGACCGTAGTCTAGGAGGAGTGGGCAGGGAGGCCCACGGAGGCCAGGGTGAGGAGGGGACGAGGAGGGTGGACAGACGGCACCTCCCCACCAGCAGGGCCTGTGTGGGGTCCCGGCACCTGCACCCCTCCATAGGGAGAGGCAGGGTCCCCAGGGCCTCTGCGTTCTCTGTCCAGGGCACCTACCAAGTGGCCTGCTACCCCACCAGGCCACACTCGATGAGCACCAGGGACATGCAGGCCCTGAGCATCATGCCGAGGCCATCAGGCTGGGGCACCCCTTCCCTGCCAAGGAGCACAGTCCAGCGGGTCAGCTGTAGAAGCCAGCGAAGGCATAGCACGGGACGCAGGGAGAGGAGGTGTGACCCTGCACAGATGTCCTGCTGGACCTGGAAGGGGCCCTGGGCCCGGGGCTCCGGGGAGCGGCCTTACTTGTGAGAGACTATAGTGGGCGGCAGCTGCTTGTGATCTCCGGCCAGGATGCACTTTCTAGCCTTCAGCAGGGGGATCCAGCAGCTGGCCTCGAGGGCCTGGGCACACTCRTCAATGACCACCACGTCAAAGTAGCTCTCGGGCAGCAGCTTCAGGGGGCCGTCGGCAGAAGCTCCTGGTTGGGACAGAGACCTTCGGTCTACAGGGTGTGGTGGCAGCTGATCTGGTCCAGCCACAGCTGACAGATGCCCAGCAGCACCTCGCCGGCCAGCCTTGCACAGCACTGTGTGCAGCAGGCTGGCCCCGGGAACACCAGCCGGGGGGACTCGGGACCCCTGTCCCAGCCACCTGGTGCTGATACAGCAGCAAGTGTGAGCTCTGAGCACCGGCCATTCCAGCCTCCGGTCGCTGACACTACCCGCCCTGGACCGTCTCAAGCCACAGAAGGCCCCCGTCTCCGCAGGCCCTGGCTGCAGCGTCTGACAGGAGGCCTTTTTCCTTAGCCACACAGAGGAACTCGTGACTGGCGCCTCCACACGAGGCCGCTGCACAGCTGCTCCTTCCAGGGGCCAGGAGCAGCACAGTGGGAAGGGTCCAGGCTGTGAGCGGGAGGCCCCATGGCAGCCCTGGCACTCGGCAGCAGGCCCCTTCCCCGAGCCACACCCAGGCCTCATCCAACTGTTACCAGAACAGGGTGACAAGTGTGGAAAGTCCCGGAAGGAGGTGGTGGTCCATGCTGGCCCTGCTCCTCCCAGCCTGAGTGCACCACGCTAAAGACACGTGGGTGAGCTTAACACCAAGAACCTTCCTGCACGGACCTTCCAGAGATGGGCGGGACACCCGACTGCACAGGACAGAGCTCCGCTGGCCTTTGGACCACTAAGGATGTGTGCAAATCACGGCTGTGACTCACAGTGCCAAGAGGAACCAGAACTCATTCATTCTTTCTTTCCTTTTCCCTCCCTCCCTTCTTTCTTCCTTCCTCTCTCTCTCTCTCCCTCTCTCTCTCTCTGGTGCTGGGGATGGAACCCAGGGCCTCAAACATGCTAGGCAAGTGCTGACCACTGGGCCTATTGCCCGCCTAAAACCAGACACCTTGATGGACACAGCTCCAGGACCCCATCCCAGTTCCCTTCCCAGCCAGGAGAGGCCTAAAAGGCCACTCAGCCACCAGTGGCCTGTTTGACCTCCAGCAAGTGTAAAGCCAGAGGTGTCTGTGCAAAGGGCAGAGCCACGGCCTCTGGGGACTCTACTCCACTCTGCAGAAAGAGCGCTGGAGGATGGTCAGGACCGGTCTGCCAGACCCCTGGAGATGCACCCATCCTCTCGCAATCCAGGGAGCAAACGTTCATTCAAGGAAAATGGCCGCATCTCAGCAAGGTGGCCCTGTGCAGTTAACCACCCTCTCCACGCCCTGACCCTTGAGACCAGCAGCCTGGCAGCCACTCCTGCAAATCCCCTTCCCAGAGGCTGGCCATCCAGCCTGCCCAGCAGACCCCACTCCAAGAACACCCTGATCCGACCCAGCCCCCCAGACCAACGGCTTCTCCCGCTGTGTCATCCCACGAGCAGATAGTGGGTGCATGTCCTGAGGCAGGGGACCCCAGCAGGAGAAAACAATGGCCTGCAATGGCCAGAGAGCTGGGCCCATGCCCAGCCATGACCTGGAGACCCAGGCTCTGCCCCGGGTTCCCCTTGAGGTTCAGCACAGCAGGAAGGAAGACTAGGAGCTGCACCCAGCCTGGTTCAGAGAGGAGCCCTCGCACAGACGGGGAGGCTGTTCCAGGAGGCCGGAGGCATCTCTGATCACTAGCTGGCCACCAAGAGACTTTAGTGGCCACAAAGGACCACAAACGCGGGCTGTAGGTAGTTCAGAGGTGACTCACCCGACCCCAACGTCAGAGCTGCCTCACTGCTGTGCCTCCAACACTGTTTCCAACAAGAACGCGCCAGAAGAGAGGGTCAAGAAGAGGGCCAGACGCGGGGAAAGGCAGCCAGAGGCCAGCCGGGGCGGGGCGCGGGTCTTACTAGAYGAGAACTCTGAACACCAGCTCTTTTAAATACGTTCAAGGAAAAAAGGAACCAAATTCAAAGAAGTATGAGACTCTATTTCACTAAACAGAGTAAAAGCAAAGAAACAAAAATGATTAAAAAAGAGAAGAACCAAGTAGACCCGCCAGCCGAAACGCACACGCGCAGTTCCCCGAGGCCTCAGCAGCAACCGCGCAGGACAGGAGGCGAGGCCACTCAGCCTGAGGAGCACAAAGGGGCTCAGGCGAGTGACAGAGCCACAGACGCGTAACACCGGAGAAAGGTGCCGGAAAAATATTTGAAAAAAAATAATGGYTGAAAATTCTCCAAAATTTATAAAAACATGAATCCACACATCCACGGGGCTCCACAAATTCCATACAGTTTTCTCAAAGACATCCACACCTCGACCAAACTGTCCACGTCATGACCAAACCGTCAGAAAAACAAAGACCAAGACTCTTGGAAGAAGAAAGAGCACCGTCCCTCACAGGGGTCCTCAGTGATGTCGGCAGTCGGGGTCTCGGAGGCAGCAGGACGAGCGATGGGACCAAGTGGGGAAAGGAGCCTGTCCACCAGCCAACCACCTCCAGACCCGGACGGAGACAAGAAGACATGGCCAAGCAGGGAAGAGCTGGAATGACCCGTGACTCGCGGCCCCACCCTTCTAGAACACTAGAGTCCGTCCAGTTGAAATGAAAGAACGCTGGACAGCAGCGCAGACACACGTAAAGAAGAGCACCAACGGGGCTCCACAGAGATGGTGTCAAAGTGAGTGTGAGTCGGTGTGAACTTACTTTCATAAGTTAAAGTAAGAACTCACTTTCCTGCAACCTGGTCTGAAAAGACCTCTGGGTAAAGCAGTGACCACGACGCCTGCGAGAGCCTGGCCTCTGCTCCTCAGAGCGCCCATCACCGACAGACGTGACCAAGAGACCCCGGGCAGCCCAGGACCCTGGGTCCCACCGTCACACCTTGCACGACCCTTCCCCTTGGGTGCAGTGGACCTGGCACTTGCTGATAGCCAACAGAACACGGCAACAGTGATGAGCTGCCCCGTCCTCAACGCCAGACAAGATTTGCGCCTTCCTGCTAGGAGACTGTCCTTACGTTCTTCTGAAGGAGCGCCATGTAGTGAGGTCCGCTAGTCAGGTTTTCGTCACTGTAATCAAAGTGCCCAACAAAAACAACGCAGAGGAGGAAAAGTTCATTTTGGCTCACAGATTCAGAGGGCCCACGGTGAGCAGACATCATGGTGGAAGAGCAAGGTGGTGAAGTGCTGCCCCATCATGGAGGCCAGGAAGCAGAGGGCGAGCAAGGGAAGGGGCCACAGGAAAGAGGAAACTCCTGGGCACACCTCCAGTGACCACCTCCTCTGGCCCACCTGCCTATCGTCGCCRGTCAGTCCACTCAAACCAGGACGGCCTGGTGAGGTCATGCTCTCATGATCTGATCATTTCATCCCCAGATCTTCTTGCAATAACACAGAAGATCTGGGGGTCACCTCACATCTAAACCCTAAGAGCAGTGTCCAGCAAACAATCAGCAATAAACTCAGTTCCACAGCCCACAAGGAACTGAAGGCCCCAACAAGCACCTGAGCTCAGAAGCAGACCTGCCCAGGCAAGCCTCGGACGGCATGYAGCCTGCAGACCCTGAGTGGGGCTGACCGAGCTGTGCCTGGACACGGGGCCCACTGGGGCTGCTCTAGGTTGCTACATTTGTGGTGATGTTGTCAGCAACAATAAAGACTTCAGACACACAGCCGAGCCTGAACCCCCAAATGGCAGGCTGACCGCATCCTCCACACCACCACGAGGTGCCAGGCATTGTCCCACAGCTACTCCAGGGAGCAACAGAGGACCAAGGCTCGTATTATGACCCAGGTGGAGTAACAGGAAGGGCGCGCGCGCGCTCTCTCTCCTCTCTCTCTCTCTCCCTCTCTCTCTCTCTCACTCACACGTGTACACACACACACACACACACACACACACACAGTCACACACAAAAAAAGAAAACCCGAAATAACACTTCAAGACCCCGGACAAAGGAGGTGGGTGACCCGAGGCTGCCTCCCTCAGCCATCCTCAACACCAAAACAAGTGAGCCCTAGAAATCTCCTGCACAACACTGTGCTGACAGCTACGTATGCCGTATTGTGCACTATGAAGACAGAGCTCAAGACAGGAGTTCTCATCACAACTTTAAAACAGCAACAAAAACACCTATAGCAAAAGAAGCTACCCAAAATGAGAACCTGGCACCCACCCATAATCCCAGGAGGCCAAGAAAGGAGGATCACAGATTCAAGGCTGTTCTCAGCAGCTTAGTGAGACCTTATCTCAAAAAGTTGAAAGGGCTGAGATGTGGTAGAGCAGCCCTGGGTTCAATCCCCAGTAGCAAAAAAATAAATGAATGAATAATAAAACACAAAAGAAAGAACACAAAAATATGAAAAAAAAAAAAAGAATCAGTGAGCTACAGAGAGGTCTCAAGCAAGGAAACTAGAATCTCCCAAACACACGGGAGACAGGGCCAGAATAAGGGGACTGACGACAGATGGCCAGATACACGAAGAAGATGCACTGAAGCACATCAAAATCACCTCACTTGAAACCAGGGACGAGGACAAAAATCTTTAAAGTAGACAAAAAATGACATTATGTACAGAGGAGCAAAGAGGAGGAGGATGCAGGATTTGTCTTCAGAATCCCCCATGCAGATGACGGTGCACAGCTTTAGAACACCGGGAGAACACGTGTCAAGCTAGAATTCACACCTAGCAAAGGATCTCACTCAAAAAGCAGGCCAGATCAAGGTACTGCCAGACACCGCGAAGTCCAAAGAGTAGCAGGCGCGGTGGCCCACACCTGTCACCCCAGCACAGTGGGAGGCTGAGGCAGGAGGATCGCGAGCTCAAAGCCAGCCTCAGCAATGGCAAGGTGCTAAGCAACTCAGTGAGCCCCTGTCTCTAAATAAAAATAAAATAGGGCTGGGGATGTGGCTCAGTGGTCAAGTGCCCCAAGTTCAATCCCCAGTACCCCCMCAAAAAAACCTCAGAGTCCACTGAACGCAGACACACACTACTAAGAAACAAAGGGAAGGAGAGCTCGAGAAACCTGGGTCTAAACCGAGGAATGCAGAGCCCCAGGCGGTAGCCGGGTTCTTATTGTCTGAATCTCTTTAAAGGAAACACCCCTAGAGCAGTACCCAGTATCACAGGTTTGTGACAGGCATGTAACAGGACAGGAAGAGCACTCGCACCAGGAGGGGCGCTGTCAGTCCCCACCACAAGGGTCTCGGGCTCCGTGACGACAGGGGGAAGCCCCGGGGTCGGAGCAGCACTGCGGCCGCAGCCCCGGCAACATCCCCAGCTCGCACGCCCTCCAAGACAGGAGCAGAGACTGGGAACCGCCCCTTGACTCAAAAGCAACCAGAGAGGAGGGAAAGGACTCAGGGCCAAATGGGACACATAGACAACAGAGAGCACAACAAGAGGCTTCAGCTCCTGTACCAGATGCAAGTGCTCGGAACACCGCGGGGGCAGAAAGGACCGCACAGGACAGAAGAGAAAGCCCAACGCGTGCCTGCCAGGGACACCAGCGGCCCCCACGAACTCAGAGACTGCAAAGACACCTGGAAAACTCCACTGTTTAAAAACCACGTGGCAAAAAAGAAACCAAGATTTCAGGAGGGAAAAAAAAGAAAGCAAAAACCAAATCAGCATTTGGAAAGGAATGGAAATGAAAACACAAGATTTCAGAACTTGTGGGAAGCCACAAAGACAGTAGCTAAGCGCTTATGTCAGGAAAGAAGAAAGGCCTCAGACCACGAGCCACTCCCACCTAAGACGCCCGAGGAGAAGAGCAGACGGAGCCCAAGTCACCAGAAAGGAACAAACGGGGAAGGTCGGAGCGCAACCCACAGAACGCAAAGGGAAATGGGGAACCGGAGCCGGCTAGCGGGCGGGGGCACGAAAACCACGGCCTGCAGGTGACCGTCACCGCGTTCTGCAGAGGGTCTTCAAGGAACAGAGAAGTCGCACCCTCCAGAGAGCCCCAGGGCCAGAGGCCACCAGCCCTCAGGCAGGGGGCGCTGCAATGCCACATAGGCACTCAGCACACCCAGCGCCACACACCCAGTGCCACACGGGCACATCAGCACACGCAGCGCCACACACTCAGTGCCAGGTGGGCACACTCAGCACACGCAGCGCCACACACTCAGTGCCAGGTGGGCACACTCAGCACACGCAGCGCCACACACTCAGTGCCATGTGGGCACATTTAGCCCAGCCTGCCCGCCCCGTTCAGGCCGGGGCCGCACCTGTGTTGGTGGCCAGGACCACACTGGCCTGCGTGAGGCTCTCCACCATGGCGGCCTCTTCCCGCTGCTTCAGCTCCTTCCTTAGCAGCTTGATTTCATTCCAAAAATTACCCCTCTCTCTCTTGTCCTGGGTCTTTCTGTTTTTTACCTGCAAACGGAAGCAAAGAGCCCATGACTTGCCTGCTTCGCACTCCCTGCGCTCCGAGCGCCGTCCCCACCTGCTCCAGCACAGCGAGCTCCTCAAGAGGCAGGGAAGGGCGAGGCCCTCTCTGAGGGGCCACAACACTCGGCCTCACACTCCACTGCACAGGGAGGAGAGGGACGCCCATGTCCTGGGGAGACGCGGTGGGGACAGGACGGCCGCCTGCAGGGACCAGCTGTTGCTGCCGGGGCACCACCCACGTTTCTCAAGATCCACGTGTTTCAGCCCATCATCACCCAACCACGCCCACGTTCGGCTGCTCTGCTTATCTGGAATACGCAGCGGGAGGAGGTCCTCCACCGCCTGATTCACTAAGTAGCCAGGCCCGAAGCGCTGGCTTCAGCAGGTACAAGGACACGACATCGTCCACACCAGACAGAGCGAGAACCATCAAGCACGTCCCACCCCACCTTATCCAGCCTCCGTCCACCAGCAGCCAGAGCTGTCCATCTGCACCAGGGCCGCCTCACCTGGGCTGTGGGGCTGGACGGACAGCCTCCCAGCCCCTCCCTGCGGCCATCACTGCTGGGCACAGGGGGCGCTGAGGAGACGGCTGCTGGGGGCAGCAAATGCGGCCAGGGCAGAAACTAGACCAGAAGGCAGAGACCTGGGGCCCTGCCACCCCAAGGGGACCTGCACCCCGGATGCCCCCTGCTCCTGGCTCCGGCCACCAGAGAAGGTGGTGTGGACCAGGACTCCGGAGGTTCACTGCTTTCCTCTTTCTCCTCGGCTGCTTCCCGCCGGTGCCAACACTCTCTGCCAGGCAACGGGAGCAGGAGGGGCACCTAGGAAACGCTGCTTCCTGATGGGTTCCTCGCCCCCGGCAACGCCTGGAGCAGGGCACCCCGTAAATGCCGAGTGCAGCTCRCTGTCAAAGACGAGCATGGCGGGAGAGGGCAGCCCACTTTTTAATGATTCAACGGTGGATGGAGGCGAGAGACCAGGAGGAACAGACTGCAGGCCGAGCCACACGGGGACGCCAGGACGCACCAGGATCCGGTCGATGTCCTTCCTGATGTCTGCGACGATCTGGGTGCTGTCGCTCTGCGCCAACACCGCGTCCAGAGAGTGCTGCTGAATGGACTCCAGCAGGCGGGCAGGGTGCCCCAGGCGCAGGATCCGCTGCTTCCAGCGGGCCAGTCGCTCCACCAGATTGTCCACCGCGATGTTCGAGGGGGCACAGCACAGAACCTGGGCGAYGCAGTGGAATCAGGGCTGGGCGACCTTTCCTGAGTCTGTGCTACAAGACAGGAAGGCTTCGGCCACAGAGGAAGGAGCAGAGCGTGCGACAGCCAACCTGCAGCCCCTGGGCCACGGAGGATGGAGCCCTCAGCACCGCACCCAGCACGTCTGCCGCCCGGACCCAGGCCCCCGAAACCTGTCAGTCTTCAAAGCACCAAAACGTCACGTGACTTGCAACTGCAGAAGAAGGCCCTAAGATTCAAGTATGCACTGGAAGACCAGCCACCAAATCCCACCAAGTCATTTTTACATCTGACCAACACAGGGTACAGTGGAATTTCCACTCCACTGCAGGAACCCAAGGCGGCCAGCAGAGGGAGACCCACAGCCCCCACCCGTCCCCCAATCCCCAGGGATGTGCAGGGCACACCCAGCCTCGCTGCTCGATGAGCACAAGGAGCCTGCCAGGCGTGGTGGCGCACACTTACGACCCCAGCTACACCGAAGGCTGAGGCAGCAGGATCGTGTCTGAGGACGGCCTCAGCAATTCAGTGAGACCCTATCTCAATATAAAGAATTAATTAAAAGGGCTGCCGATGTGGCTCAGTGGCAGAATGACCCTGGATTCAATCCTCAGTGTTGCACGCACAAAAAAAGACACTCAATGATAAGCCACCAAAGCCGCTACTTGTTCAGTAAGTACCTTTTCTTGCCAGTTTTTAAACAGCTGCGTAGACACCCATCCACAGGGAGGAAACTTTGGACACTGATTTAACTAAGTGGCAACAACCCTTGCAGCTCTGAAAAGCAGCAGCTCAGGTAGGCACGGTGGTGCACACCTGTGATCCCAGCTACTCAGGAGGCAGAGGCAAGAGGATTGCAACTTTGAGGCCAGCCTCAGCAACTGAGCAAGACTGTGTCAAAATTTAAAAAGGGCTGGGGATGTGGCTGGTGTTGAGTCACTTGCCCTGTATGTGCAAGGCCCTAGGTTCTGCCCCCGGCACTGCAAACAGCATAAGGTAGCAGCTCTGCCAGTCAGTGCTGGCTTTGCTTCTCACTGGCGTGATGGCAGGTGACCCTGTCTGGGTTTCCTTGCCTACACCTGGGCTGCTAACAGTCCCCAGCAAGCAGGGTAGAAGACACCTAGAAGGCCGTGGGTTGGAAGCGGCACCAGCACAGGCCGACCTACCAATGCCGACCACTGCCACGCCAGCTCTTGCCCGGACCATGCTGCCACGTGCCAGGAGGGACTGTCTAACACACGTCCTGTGTCCTCGGGTCAGGATGACTCAGTGCATGTGAAGACCAAAGACCCTTTCTGGACCACAGCAAAGGCAAGGGAGCGAGGACGCGCACCCTGGACAGCCCGCCACCCATGCACTGCGCATGCATCCTGTCCACTAACCAGGCACAGGGTCAAGGGCCTGGTCAGCCACACACCCCAGTATGGGCCTGAACACAGCTGGAGCCAAGGAGCTTGGGCAGGGACACCCACGGGTGGCTTCTGCAGCGGGAAGGGCTCCGGGAGCCTGAGCCACACTGTCCACACAGGGGCTCCTGGGCACTCCCCTGACCCGAGGGGCTGTCAGACATCAGAAGGGCCCTGCCAGCCCGCTGTGTGTGTATGGTCTTGGGGACTGAACCCAGGGTCACTCTACCTGAGCTACACTGGACCTCAGCCCCCCCTTTTTTTAAAATCTTTGTTTTGTTTATTTGTTTATTTTACATGGAGCTGAGGATCAAACCCAGTGCCTCCCGCATGCCAGGCCAGCGCTCTACCGCTGAGCCCCAGCCCCAGCCCCACCCCTCAGCCCTTTTACTTTGAGACGGGGTCTCACTAAGTTGCCCACGGTGGCCTTGGACTTGCCATCCTCCTGCCTCAGCCTCCTGTCTCTGGGATTACAGGTGAGGGCCAGGACACCAGCTCCAACCCTCACTCCTAAAGGTCCAGGGAGGTTCCTGACCAACCCTACCAGAACTGTGGCTGGGATCCCGCCAAGCGCCCACTGAGCACGGCGGGGACCCGCAGACAGTGCCCCACCTTCAGGCCCTGCTTCACAGCCTGCAGGATGATCTCGACCAAGGTCGTGGTTTTCCCAGTGCCCGGCGGTCCGTGGATGATGGCGAGCTCTTTCTGGGACAGCGCAAACAAGACGGCTTCCTTCTGGGAGGGGTCCAGGGTGGCATTGAAGAGCACCAGGGGGCCTGCGGGGCAGCAGCTGTCAGGCCCGGCCCTGCCACCCGCCTGCCAACCTCCTCACAGGGCACACACGGGTAGCACGCTGGACTCGGCTGTCTACGGAGGACTTCCAGTACGGGCCACGGCTATTCAGTTACATGCTGCTGGTGGCTGCCACAGCAGAGGCAAGGCATGGCCCACATGGAAAAGGTCCCCGACCCACCGTCTGGGATAACAGGCAAGAAAGAAAGGTTTTTGGAGACGCGCCGATTTCCGTCATCTCACCCCTTTTAGTTAAATGACAAAAAAAAGAAAGAAAGAAATGCTAACGAATTCCAGAGTGGTGTCTCTACTCTAGATTGGAAAACTAACAAGCTTCTTATGCTCTGTGCCCACTGTGCCCACCTGTGCCAAGTACTGCCCCGTGCCTGTGGCAAAGCCCCTGACTGACACACAAGCACACTGAGCCTGCTGGCCAGGGGCACTGGGGCACTCATGAGAACAAAATGATTTGAGAACAGTCCAGGGGGGTCATGGACAATGAACCCACCACCAAATCTGAAGTCCCCTGCAGAGTCCACTACCCCACACCAAATCCCCTTTCCCTGGGCAACAGCCATGATCAGGACATGCCACAATCCTCACACAGATAAATAAGCCATGAGGGTGGCCGTGGCTGCCATCCCAGAGGCTAAGGCAGGAGGATCGCAGATTCAAGGCTAGCTTGGGCAGCTTGGCAAGGCCTTAGGCTACTCAGCGAGACCCCGTCTCAAAAACTCTAAAGGGCGGGGGATGTGGCTCAGTGGTTTAGTGCCTCTGGGTTCAATTCACAGTACTGAAAAAAAAAAAAAAAAAACTATAGTAAACAAATTTCTGGTTCAGTTTCCAGCCCACAGTGCCCTGCACAAAACATCTGACAGAAATAAAGTATCATTGAAATACGAGTACCTTTAGAATTTCCAAAAAAAAAATGTGGAGAGAAAACGAGTATCCATAAAGCCGTGCCATGAGGAGTGCGGACTGAAGCAGCCGGGTCTGGGCTCTCAGTCTGCTCTGCTTGGCGCTGGGTGAAACCTCGGGGCCGCGCCACCCCACCCACGTAGGTTTTTATTTCGAGATGGTCTTGCTAAGTTGCCCAGGCTGGCCTGGAACTAGGGATCCTCCTGCCCGAGCCTCCGGAGCCCCTGGAGTCACAGCATGTGCCACCGCACCCGGCAGCCCTGTTTCCAAGCTACTCAACAATGGAGTTGTTAGCGGGTACAATGACAGACGGGGCTGGCGCGTGGCTCAGCAGAGGAGCGCATGCCAAGCAGGCGCAGGGCCCTGGGCTGCTGGTGACGTGGCACTGGACCTGACCAAAGCCACCGCTTCACAATCGACAGAAGCCCCCCCCAGTCTTCAGCAGCCGTGCCGAGTAAAGCCCCCTGACAGTGGGCTTCCGGGACGTGCTCCTAATCGCACCCTCACACTCAGGCCCACGGTCAGACCCTGCTCGACAGCTTTAGCAACAATGAAAGAAGAAAAGTCCTCACCTATGTCACCGGCAGGGCTGGGGGCGGATCCGTGGAAGATCAGCTCTATGAGCGGGGACGCCGGCCCCGAGTGGAACTTCTTCAGAGCCACCAGAGCCCTGTGGGGGAGAGGGCACCGAGAGCTGGGGGAAGGCTGTGAGAGGCTCAGGCCAGCCTCTCACACGGGGCCCGGCCAGGGCCGCAGCCCGGGAGCCCACCTGCCTCCACACTCACGCCTTCAGCCGCTTGTACGTGACGTCATTGGCGAGCTTCAGCAGCCTGTAGGAACTCTCTCGATCCAAGTCCAACTGGAGGTCCTGGGACTCGTCAAAGGCCACAGTGACAGACTTCTGGGTGATACGGGTCAGGATCCCAGAGGCCAGCTGACCACCTTCGTGGGCAGCACCATACAGACCCACAATGTCACCTGTGAAACCCAAGCCACATCGCATAAGAACTGGAAAAAGCGAGGTACTGTTTTGTGTGATAAATTCCAAGACATTTCAAATGTGACGCCGTCGTGACTTTCTCCTCCTGCCTTTGTTCCCTGTGCTCCAGTCTCTGCCTCCCCCGCCACACCCCTGGCCACAGATGGGTCCACAGATCCACCGGGGCCCCAACTGGGCACCTGGACAGAGACCCACAGCCATCAGCTGGGCCAGGCACTGAGGGCGCAGGGGGAAAGCCACGTCTGCGGCCCCAACAACAGGACAAGGGCCCAAGACCTCAGCCTGCCGGGGCTCCCCCAGCTGTGCCCGCATCGCCTCCTCTCTCCAACCCAGCCAGGACCCCAACAACCACTGGGGCCAGGGTCGATCACAGCACTGTCCCCACAGAACAAGGAGAGACTGACCGTGCAAAGGACGTCGTGACAGCCCCCTCCGGGTTCCCTGGGCTGCGGCGTCAGGCAGCAACGACTGACTGTCCCTCCTGTCAGGCTGTGACTCCGCAGAGCCTGCCCAGCAGGGGAAAGTCTAGGAGTCCACAGCTGCCCACCCTGCACACCCGGCCATGGGGACCAAGGCCAAAGCCACCCCTATATGACAAGAGTCACAGGTGACTTCTGGGCCGCCCCTGTGTGACAACGGTCACGGGTGACTCCAGGACACCCCTGTGACAACAGTCACGGGTGACTCCTGGGCCGCCCCTGTGTGACCACGGTCATGGTGACTCCAGCGCTGCCCCATGTGACAACGGTCACGGTGACTCCAGAGCTGCCCCTGTGTGACAACAGTCATGAGTAACCAAATTTCCTAGTAGCTACACTAAAACGTGAAGGAAGCTGAGCATGGTGGGCACGCTGTAATCCAGCTGCTCAGGAGGGAGGCAGGGGACCAAAGCTCAAGGCCAGCCTCAGCCACTGAGCAGGACCCCGTGCCCAGGTAAAATAAGAAGGGCTGGGGGCGGCGTCTGGTCGGCATCAAGATACACACCAGAAGTGAAGCTGTTGCTGGGAAGCACCCCGGCAGAGCCACCCCGCCTGGGCTCCAGGGTGACCAGCAGCCGTCCGTACAGCCCCGTGCGCTGGCTGGACACCTGAAGCTTCAGCAGACACACGCCCCGGCTCTGGAGCTCCTTCAGAGAGATGCTCTCCTGCCAGGACCTGCAAGACACCCAGGTCAGGGCTTCGGGCTGTCCCTCACCAGCTTCTGCTTCCCCGCCCACRTGAGAGAGGGGACAGAGACAGGAAGATAAGCGTCTGCACAGGCACGACTTCTCAGAGAGCCGAGCCTGCCCCACCCCAACTGGCCCCCCCATCCTCCAGGGCAGCTGACGCCAGGACCTCTGGGCTTTGGCTCCCACCACGCCCTGGTCCCCATCAACACTAGGTCCCACTGGTGCCCTCGCCGCCTCTCATCGGCCATCGCTGGCACCACCTAGGGCCACTACTGCTAACCTGGACGAAACTTGGCTCCTAACTGCTTATCTCTGGGCTCTCCCTGCCCAGCTGCCCCAGGGCAGCGCAGTGCCCACCGACCCATCCCCTCAGCTGCCCTCCCTCGCCAAGAGCCATCCCCGGTGCACAGTGGCAGGATGAGCCCCTCGCAGGCCCTCCTGAGCCTGGCCCTTCCCTACTTTCCCTGATGGTCGGCAACAGCCGGGGCCACGTGCAGCCTCTGTGCTTGATGCTGAGTACCTGACGCAAAAGGATGGGTTTGCTCTCAGACAAGGTGTGGGGTGGAGTCCTGCCGTTTCGCAATGAGGTGAGGCAGGCTCAGAGACCACCTGCGAAGCCTACCCACCGTAGTRCAGGAGCAGGGATCCCACCGAGCTCCCAGCCAGCAGGGTCAGAGGCCTCTCAAGCAGATCCTGCCAAGGGATGGGTCTGGAGGCAGACTGCCCCGATCCGCGTCACCCTGGGCAAGCTCCATGGCCCCTCTGTCCCTCCTTGGACAGGACAAGTCACAGCTCTGTAGGGCTGGCAGGAGGTCTTAAGGAGACTGACACCAGGTACTGCTCATCTTGCTTCAAGCAAAGGGATCCCCAACCAAGGCCCACCATCAGGTTGTCCACACCTCCTTCACCACCTCTCCTGGGCACCACCCAACGCTCACTCCTCCTGTGCTCAGCACCGTCCTCCAGGAAGCCCCCCTGATGTCCTCCTAGGGCTCTCCAGCCAGCAGTGGCCATGCTGCTTGGGCACAGGGCTGTTTCTGGTCATGCTTTCTGTGCAGACACTCTAACTTCCTCATCTTCTTCTTTGCTTGGTGGGGAGCAGGAAGGGGACAGGGGTTCCTGGGGTTGGCCAGAGACGGACACACATGTGCCTGCCCTAGTGACTCCATGGTGTGCGGAACAGCAGTCCCCAGGCTGCGCCTGCCCTGAGTGACTCCATGGTGTGTAG